TCGAAATTATTTTTCATTAGAATTCATGGATTGAGGCTATTAAGCGCTGGTTTCATCTTAGGTAATTAGGATTTCTAAAAAAATGCGGTGGACGCAAAGTGGGTGATCACTGTATATTTCCCTTCGTTCGGTCCTTTAAATTTACGGTTCCATTCTTCAATTTATCAAAACGGATAGGCAAATCCCTCATCTAGAACATGATCGAAATTATTTTTCATTAGAATTCATGGATTGAGGCTATTAAGCGCTGGTTTCATCTCAGGTAATTAGGATTTCTACGAAAAATGCGGTGGACGCAAAGTGGGTGATCACTGTATTTTTCCCTTCGTTCGGTCCTTTAAATTTACGGTTCCATTCTTCAATTTATCAAAACGGATAGGCAAATCCCTCATCTAGAACATGATCGAAATTATTTTTTCATTAGAATTATGGAATTCATGGATTGAGGTAATATTACGAAAAAGCGCTGGTTTCATCTTAGGTAATTAGGATTTCTACGAAAAATGCGGTGGACGCAAAGTGGGTGATCACTGTATTTTTCCCTTCGTTCGGTCCTTTAAATTTACGGTTCCATTCTTCAATTTATCAAAACGGATAGGCAAATCCCTCATCTAGAACATGATCGAAATTATTTTTCATTAGAATTCATGGATTGAGGCTATTAAGCGCTGGTTTCATCTCAGGTAATTAGGATTTCTACGAAAAATGCGGTGGACGCAAAGTGGGTGATCACTGTATTTTTCCCTTCGTTCGGTCCTTTAAATTTACGTTTCCATTCAATTTATCAAAACGGATAGGCAAATCCCTCATCTAGAACATGATCGAAATTATTTTTCATTAGAATTCATGGATTGAGGCTATTAAGCGCTGGTTTCATTTCAGGTAATTAGATTTTACGAAAAATGCGGTGGACGCAAAGTGGGTGATCACTGTATTTTCCCTTCGTTCGGTCCTTTAAATTTACGGTTCCATTCTTCAATTTATCAAAACGGATAGGCAAATCCCTCATCTAGAACATGATCGAAATTATTTTTCATTAGAATTCATGGATTGAGGCTATTAAGCACTGGTTTCATCTCAGGTAATTAGGGTTATTACGAAAAATGCGGTGGACGCAAAGTGGCTGATCACTGTATTTTTCCCTTCGTTCGGTCCTTTAAATTTACGTTTCCATTCTTCAATTTATCAAAACGGATAGGCAAATCCCTCATCTAGAACATGATCGAAATATTTTTTTTCATTAGAATTCATGGATTGAGGCTATTAAGCGCTGGTTTCATCTCAGGTAATTAGGATTTCTACGAAAAATGCGGTGGACGCAAAGTGGGTGATCACTGTATTTTTCCCTTCGTTCGGTCCTTTAAATTTACGGTTCCATTCTTCAATTTATCAAAACGGATAGGCAAATCCCTCATCTAGAACATGATCGAAATTATTTTTTCATTAGAATTCATGGATTGAGGCTATTAAGCGCTGGTTTCATCTCAGGTAATTAGGATTTTCTACGAAAAATGCGGTGGACGCAAAGTGGGTGATCACTGTATTTTTCCTTCGTTCGGTCCTTTAAATTTACGGTTCCATTCTTCAATTTATCAAAACGGATAGGCAAATCCCTCATCTAGAACATGATCGAAATTATTTTTCATTAGAATTCATGGATTGAGGCTATTAAGCGCTGGTTTCATCTTAGGTAATTAGGATTTCTACGAAAAATGCGGTGGACGCAAAGTGGGTGATCACTGTATTTTTCCCTTCGTTCGGTCCTTTAAATTTACGGTTCCATTCTTCAATTTATCAAAACGGATAGGCAAATCCCTCATCTAGAACATGATCGAAATTATTTTTCATTAGAATTCATGGATTGAGGCTATTAAGCGCTGGTTTCATCTTAGGTAATTAGGATTTTTATACGAAAAATGCGGTGGACGCAAAGTGGGTGATCACTGTATTTTTCCCTTCGTTCGGTCCTTTAAATTTACGGTTCCATTCTTCAATTTATCAAAACGGATAGGCAAATCCCTCATCTAGAACATGATCGAAATTATTTTTCATTAGAATTCATGGATTGAGGCTATTAAGCGCTGGTTTCATCTTAGGTAATTAGGATGTCTACGAAAAATGCGGTGGACGCAAAGTGGGTGATCACCAATTTGATCTTATCGAACTGATCATACTTATTATTTAAACAGGTTTAAATAATTGTGTCATCAGCGTAAATACCGAACTGAGAAGTGTTGATATCAGGAAGGTCGTAGGATAAAGACTTGGGCGGCTCCTGTAATAATACAAACAGATCTAGAAGAGTGGCCATCCAAAACAACTTTCATTTAATAATTTGATAAGAAAGACTGAATTAATTCAATATATCGTCTAGAAATACCAGAACCTTTCATCTTGTGAAAAGAACGGTATACCAAACACTGTTAACTGCCTTCGAGATAACCAAAGCAAGAGACCATGCTTCACTATTCTTATCTAAAGACTAGCAGCATGACCCGGCGTAGCTCGTGCTTGATTCAAAAACCGTACGACTTATACAGCAATCGCTATCACTTGACTTAAAATATTTTTTGCCCTTACTTGCGTTTAAAGGAGTGCCCTTTGCCATGCTGATGTTGCTACATGCCTTACTTCTTGCCTATCTCACATTGCGAATTTTTTCTAAGCTCTATACTAAACATTAAATCTGTTACGAAAAAAGAACTAAACAAAATGAACACAAAACGATCAGCTTTGAAAAAGAACTCGTAACTGGAAAACCCGAATGAAAAAAGAATGTTAACAACAATAATACTTTTTCTCACCCAACCCAGTTCTGCGGGATCAGAATCAACGTTGAGTTTAAGCAAGAGAATGAGCCAATACGTGTAAAGTGCCTTGCAGATTTAAATTTTTCCCACTTTTTTCCCACGAATGCAGCTATCGATTTTTTGCATGCTAGTTAACATTCGTGTCAGTCAGCTGTTGGCTCTCACGCTGGCCAATAGAATCTTCCTGCCTATTCGTGGCAGCCAGCTATAGGCTCTCACCCTGGCCAGTAGAAAATGGTTGCAAACTACATGAAAACTGCCGTAGAAGCATGAAAAAATCGGTTATTTCCACTATCGATGAGAGTTGGGAAATGCAAAGTCGGTCTTGGAGTTCCCGCTAACTTGGAGCATGTGCATGTAAATTTTGGTGCAAATTCGTCGAAAATTGAGGCCGCGCATTCGTTACACACACACACACACACACACACACACACACACACACGCACACACGCACACACACACACACACATCCTGCCTTTTATAGATAGAGATTGATAGATTCTTTCAGCAATAAACGTTAATACATCAACAGATGACTTAGAGAAACGGAAGCTGTATTGCTTATTCGAAAGGAGAACCTGCGAGTTGAAAATGATAACAGAGACAGATTGCATATACATTCGAGGAATTTCCCGTTATTTTAGAAATGTTGAGTTTTATATTGTTAAGCGGATAGTTACTCAATACAATTCATGGAAAAAGAAAGAGAAAAAGTGTGTGGTATCATTTCCAGTGTTTATAGGATGACAAATATATCTTAAGCAAATATGAATGTCGTCAGTGAAAAGATATTTAGGATGGGAGAAATTGTAGGGTTTACCGTTTTTAAAAAGGAAAGAAAAAAACATGAAGTTGTTTCTAACGTCATCGAAAGGACATTGTTTCCTTCCGTTACAGAGGTATTTCATGATTATTTATGCAAAATCAATGATATCCGATTTGGGGAAGAAATATGGTTGTTTAGAAAATGGAGCAAGAGATATTTTTTTTTATAAAAGAAATGTAGACAGGCTGTTTATTTGGCAGGAAAAACAAAATAGCGGATCTTCAGAAAGACCATCAAAAATGCCACAGAACAAGTAACTTTAGATAAATCAATGACTACAAACACATAAATTATTTATTTAACTCTTTTTTTTTCAGTAACGGAATTTATTCTCTCTTCCATGGATATTGCAAATGATATGCCATTAACCTAGATTCCCCAAGTTTTGCTATTAAACGTGTATATATATAAATATATACAGAAAAAAAAATGTTTTTTTACCAACGCGTTTCGTCTCCTGAGGAAGATTATCAGCCGATAAAAAGCGTTGGTAAAAAAAGTTTTCCTTTTCTTTTTATTTATATTTTTTATATATATATATATATATATATATATATATATATATATATATATATATATATATATATATATATATATATTACATATCTTTAAACTTTTACACACACACACACACATATATATGTATGTATATGAATAAGTTATAATTAGGCAGCAAGTATACATACAAAGATGTTTGATTAAAAAAGACTGACTAAATCTGTAAATTTAATTTTTTATGTTGTGTATTGTGGCCAAAATCATAGATAAACTGTCATTTTTGGGTCGATGTTTTTTTGGTTCAAGTACTTTCTACTGTCTCGATCTTTTTCAAGAACCAATGTGATGCCGAATCTGAATTCCTGTATCTAAATCCTGGTATTCTTTGGATAACTGAAAGTTTAAAAATGTCTACTGGACCGAGGTAGCAAAACAGCGATATGTCCCGGAAAGGGATATATTTGAACGAAGTAGCTAAGTGGTTTTGGCTACTATAACCAAGTATAATACGGTAGCAGTAATCGACTGGTACGCGTCATAGTCGCAGGTAAGAAGTGTAGATCAATGGCGTAGTCCATTGGGCGTCGTTATAGACTTAGCTCTCAGACTAAGGCTCTCTTGACTCTGTCGTACCTACACGTCTGTCGGTATTTATGACGGACACCAGCCAATCATATTCCAGTGAGGGGGAACACAGGTGTACGCATATTCCATTATATCAACCAGTATGCAGTTTCTTTGAAAATTGGAAAAACAAAAACAAAAAACAAAACTTCTTTGTAATTAACTTAAATAGAAATCACACGAAGACACACATACACATATACGTGTGTCTGTGTGTGTGACTGTGGTTATGTTTAATGTGTATGATTATCTATCTATCTATCTATCTATCTATCTATCTATCTATCTATCTATCTATCTCTGTGTGTTACATTGTTATCCCTAGTTGATACCGTTAAAACAGTTCTCAAGTGATTTGTTTTTCTGTTATTTGGTACAGTTGCTTTTTTTCTGGTTCTGTCACGCAAGCCCCCTTTCTGAAATAGATGTTGAAGCTGGTGAACATCTGCCATCTATTGACCTCGAATATAAGCCTGCCCCTATTTCAGCATTGAGTTTTTCTTCAAACATATTTCACAGGTATTCCAGTAAAAATGATCTACAAAAAAAAAAAAAAAAAAACAGTGGCCGAAAACTCGTTTCCTGGTCAGCTTAACTAGTCGCTTCGAAGGGCACTATTTGCATTCCTTCAACGCTAACGAAGCCAACTTTATACTGCCAATGATTCAGAGCAGACCGAAGTTACACTATCTGAGAGAGGGAGTCCATGACTTGATGCAAAATGTGAGTACGCTGAAACGCTTGGAAAGCAATGACAACTATCAACCTTTTCCACAGATTTAAGTTACCCAACTATTCTCATAGGGATTAGGTAACCACATGGCATGTTTTTAGACAGCTATTATGCACTCTTGCATCGTCACCCTAGGCCAGCAGTTCTCTGCCGGTGCGATCGGGCGCACTAATGCGCCGTGAAAGTTAACAGAAGTGTAATTTAAGAATTATTTTTATAATTTAAAAATATATCTTTATTTTTAAAAAAGGTATAGACACCAACCACATGGACTTCATGTCTAAGTAAGGTTCTTTTTTTGTTGTTATTGGATATTTTAAACAGGATTCTAAATTACTTTATCTTTAAGAAGGAGTGGATAATCCTTTCCCTTTTGCTTTTATCAAGGGATTTAAATCAGTATTTATCGGCCAATGTAAAAAAAGCAGATTTTTCATAAATTTAAATCCCTTTAAACGAAAACTGTACTACATATATTCTTTGGGAATGTTAAACCAAAATTTTATATTTTCAATACATATGACATTTTTTTTCTTATTAAAATTTAAAGTGCACCCCAGGTTTTTAGCTATTCTACAAGTGCACCCTGAAGTAAAATTAAGGTTGAGAAACATTGCCCTTTGGCTGATATCAAGAAGAAAACAACGCCTTACCGAATCGACGACAGTAAGATTCGAATACAGGTTTAGTATCAGATCGCTAAAGTTTTAACCGAAGGCACGGTGAAGTAATCGATAGCGGCTCGGATTGAAGAATCAGAGAGCCGAGTTCGAATTCTAGTCAAATCCATTACATTCACTTACGTGCTAATAACCCTGGGAAAGGTATGAAACCTCTTCTTCTCTCCACCCCCGCCTATGGGTAAATAGCAGGATATACCGGCATCTATACCCTTGGATGACATCTGGTCTACCGCAGAAAGAAATGGCAACCTACTGCGGGAAAAAATATCTGCAACGGCAATTATGTATCGAAAGATACACGATCGCCTAAGCGTGTATCACGCATGGCACATAACTGACTGTATAGTTTTAACTATTCATGTATGCACCCAATACATCCTATTCTTGTTTGTCATAGATATCCCGAAGCAACAAATATGGTGACCCTAACGTTATGTTTAATCATTTTGTTATTAGTTACACTGAAAGACAAGCTCATTAACCAAAGCTTCCATGCAAAATAATTTTTCATTGATTTGAATTGTTTTATATTGCAGTAGGTTCCTTTTTCTCCACAAAATTAACTAAACACTAATTAATGTTTTCGATGTGTTTTTCCTTGTTTTTCTTTTATTATTCTCTTTTGTTGAGTAAACTGAAAAATTACGATAAATAAATGAATTCATAAATGAATATTACTTTTTAAGGGATCTTTTTGAAGGGGTATTTATTTTTCTTTTGTAAGAAGATATTAATGAAGTGTTACGCTATGTAAAAATATCAAGTTATTTAATAATCTTGGCTTCAATTTGTACAGAACACAGAGACACCTTCTATAAGAAATTATTAATGAAGTCTTGCGTCATTTAATAATTTTCCGTTATTTAAAAATCTTAGTTTCAATTTGTACAGAACACAGAGACACCTTCTATAAGAAATTATTAATGAAGTCTTACGTCATTTCATAATTTTACGTTATTTAAAAATCTTAGCTTCAATTTGTACAGAACACAGAGACACCTTCTATAAGAAATTATTAATGAAGTCTTACGTCATTTAATAATTTTACGTTATTTAAAAATCTTAGCTTCAATTTGTACAGAACACAGAGACACCTTCTATAAGAAATTATTAATGAAGTCTTACTTCATTTAATAATTTACGTTATTTACAGAAACACAGAGACACCTTCTATAAGAAATTTTACGTTATTTAATAAACGTTATTTAAAAATCTTAGCTTCAATTTGTACAGAAAACAGAGACACCTTCTATAAGAAATTATTAATGAAGTTCTACGCTATTTAATAATGTTATCAGGAACATCAGGAACGGGCGACAACATATTCTATGAGAAATTAATGAAGTGTTACACTATTTAATAATGTATGTATATTTTATAATCTTAGTTTCAATTTGAATAGAACATCAGGTACGGACGACCACATTTATGAGAAATTATTAATAAAGTCTTAAGCCATTTAATAATGTTATGTTATTTAATAATCTTAGCTTCAATTTGTATAGAACATCCTAAACAGGAAACCACATCATATATGAGAAATTATTAATAAAGTCTTAAGCCATTTAATAATATTACGTTATTTAATAAACTTAGCTTCAATTTGTATAGAACATCCTAAACAGGAAACCACATCATATATGAGAAATTATTAATAAAGTCTTAAGCCATTTAATAATGTTACGTTATTTAATAATCTTTGCTTCAATTTGTATAGAACATCCGAAAGAGGCAACCACATTTTATATGAGAAATTATTAATAAAGTCTTAAGCCATTTAATAATGTTACGTTATTTAATAATCTTTTTTTTCAATTTTATAGATCAAGAAACAGGCGACCACATTTTATATGAGAAATTATCAATGAAGTGTTACGCTATTTAATATTTTTATTTAACATTTTCTCAGAAGATCAAGAATGTGCGGCCACTTTGGAATCGGTCTTTTGAATCTCAATCTCTACGAGGCATATCTTAACATGACAAGAAATAAACATAACCTTGGTTGACACAATGACACAGATATGAGAGAATCCAGCGATAGTCTGCGAGACAATCTTCTTTGCTTTCGCAGGAGAACATTTGATTGTTAGAAAATTTTTGTACTATTCTTACCTAAGTCTGGCTCGAGACCAATGAAGTTAAGTTCTGACACAGTACACGCGCCAACTGAAATAATTTTACATTTGAGCTAAACTAGGCGCCCAAGATCATGTAGGGAGAAATCATTAATTATGTAACCGCTCGTTTTATTTGTAATTTTGCCAGGTACAACCTAAAAGTTTATGGAAAATTTGGCAAAAAAAAAAAAAAAATTATGTAAGGGTAGTTTAACCAATATTGACTCGGAAAATAGAATCGGGGTTCATTTGTTGTGTACACTTTCGCATAAATTCCCTTTAAGGCATGAACTCATCCATTTCTTGAATTCAACCCAAATTGAGTACAATACCACCTTTCCAAAATCAACCTACCTTACTGTGGAGTGGTATTCTTTTTTTATCCGTTGCGATGAGATATGACATTAAAAAAAGAAAAAATGAATGAAAACAGGCGAATGGAATCAGATTTTTTTTTTTTTATTAGTGAGGGCAGGATACTGATTTCGAATTCAGTTCGTACGAATTTTTAAAGCTTTCTCTTTTATTTTTTTTAATTTATTAAATCGTGTAGAAAATGTCTTTTTTTAAGGCCGTGAAATCAGAGTTAAAAAAATTGATTGTCTTTTTAGATATTTTTTCTACAGCCAAACGTTAAACAACAAAACAGCAAATTTTACGATTTAATGAAACAAACAAAACTTTTTACCCTGTTACAAAAAAAAAAAAGAAATGATATCTGCAAGAATTCAGTTTGATGAGAGATTATTCCCTTCACGTTAATTTCATTTAGTCTGTCTTAATCAACATTCATTTCTTTCACTTTTTCTCGCATTCTCTACCCCTCTCTCTCTCTCTCTCTCTCTCTCTGTATGTCATTTTTTGTCCTCTTTGCTTTTCCCCTTTTACTTCTTTCTTTCTTTCTTTCTTTCTTTTTTTCTTTCTTTCTTTCTTTCTTTCTTTCTTTCTCAGCACATTTCTTTCTTAGTTTTTGTCCTCTTTGATTTTTCCCTTTTTACTTCTTTCTTTCTTTCTTTCTTTCTTTCTTTCTTTCTTTCTTTCTTTCTTTCTTTCTTTCTCCGCACATTTCTTTCTTAGTTTTTGTCCTCTTTGATTTTTCCCTTTTTACTTCTTTCTTTCTTTCTTTCTTTCTTTCTTTCTTTCTTTCTTTCTTTCTTTCGCCGCACATTTCTCTCTTAGTTTTTGTCCTCTTTGCTTTTCCCCTTTTACTTCTTTTTTTATCTACTCTTTTCTTTCTTTCTTTCTTTCTTTCTTTCTTTCTTTCTTTCTTTCTTTCTTTCTTTGCCCTCTTTCCATTTTCCTTCTTTGCTTCTTTCTATCTTTCTTTCATCCACTTTCTCTTTATTTCTTTCTTTCTTTTTCCTTTCTTACTATGTTCGCTTCTTTCTTTCTCACGTCTTTCGTAAAATATTCATTTAACGTTTATTTCACTGAACCTTTCCTCAATGTCTCTCTTTTTTTCGTAGAATATATATATATATATATATATATATATATATATATATATATATATCCTCATATTCTTTCTTTTTCTTATCCTCTCACCTTTTTTATTAAATGAAATAATTTTCTTTTTTTTTCTTTGCTTATTATCTTTTTCTGATTGAACTTTCATTGTATAACAATATTACAAATGAAAAAAACACGACTAAAACAACAGGCTCCTTACGTTATAAACTCAACATTGAATTATCAATCACCACCATGCAACATAAAGCATGAACAATTTACAAATATATTTCTTTATCATGTGCAATCTGCGCAGACAGATTTTGGGGCTTCCTTTCAAAACTCTTTTCCAAATAAATATTTCAAAGCACTTTTTGCATGAAAGAAAATGGCACAAAATACCGTAGAATTCTCACTTAACATTTTCTGACATCTAGCGGCACTTTTGAAGTGTCTTTTAGCGATCAGAGGATAGGTTGTTCAAAATATTACAATAATAATAATAATAATAATATTAATAATAATAATAATAATAATACCGACCCCCGGATTAAAGTTGTCAGAATGTGGGACGATCAGGCCATAATTGCCCCTTGGTATCACTTTGGCGTTGCAGCCTATACCACCGAACTTAAAATAATACATTAAGAAAATCGGAATAAATCTTAGTCTCTTCAGAACTCTGCGTTTCTTCGCACCGCAGATATTCTGAGGAAGGTGCTCTCTATCTGAGGTCGTACGACTTGATAGAGAACACCCATAATGCAATCTCTCCGGTTAAAAAAATATCGGGCGAAAGATGATAATAATAATAATAATAATAATAATAATAATAATAAATGTAACTGCATTGTAAAGTCCCTATAAAATTGTTATAGTTCTTATGTCCACCGCCCAGGCCCGGCTACAGACATTGGAACTGCAACAATTTTTATAGGGACTTTACAATACCCACAGAGAGAATAATCAAAACTAATCGTCCAGATATCATGATCAAAGCCCACAAAAAACCCCAGAAAGTGCTTCCTTTTTGATATGGCAGTTCCTGAAGGCCGTAATGTATCTTTGATGATCCTCAGAAAAAAAAAAACCTATGTAAATACAAGGACCTTGAAGTGGAAGTCTCAAAAATGTGGTGCATGAGGGTAATTCCAGTAATTCCAATTGGAACCCCCGGATTCATTGGAAAAGGTTCCGATAGACTCATTGAAGGAATTCCTTGTAGTCCTTGCTTTAAATAATTGCAAAAAAAAAAAAAAAATTCTACACACAAATACAGCCCATACATTACGAAGAGCTTTAACTATGCAAAATGTGTGTGATGTTAACATTATTTTTATTTTTTGTTTTATAAAAATGATCAGCGGAAAATATCATGAAGACATTTCTGACCCTAGGTCTCTGGTTGGGACCCAGAAGGAAATTTGCATACAACAAAAATAATAATAATAATAATAATAATAATAATAATAATAATAATAATAATAAAGGTGTGAAGGAATGTTGTGCCCCTAAGCTGCTCGGCCTGGGGGCAATGATCAAAGTGTAGTACGCTGCCTTTGTGAGCTTCCGAGTCAGCGTCTGTCGAACTCTCTGCATTAGCAGAGAGGAACCCGGACGAAGTTTTGCCGAAGGGCAAGGTTTCGTTCGGGGAGGTAGACAGGGCCTGAATCCGTCAAAGCGGGTTCAAAAAGGCTATGTTTTTGGCCGAGCCTACGGATACCCACATTAAACCGGCCTTGTGCCACATTCTATCCTCGTGGGTGGATTGATAAATACTAAGCTGCGGGTATGAGCAGATATATGGCAATCATCACGCAGCCGAAACTACTAAGGTGAGGGCATCAAATAATAATAATAATAATAATAATAATAATAAAATACAAGGACCTTGAAACCTTGAGGATCTTTAAATCGAAATCTCAAAAATGTGACACATGGGAACATCACACTATCCCTGTTGTAGTTGGAGCCCTCGGATTGGTTGGAAAAAATTACAGTAGGGATTCCTCAAAGCCTATGCCTCAAAGAAATACAAAAAAAATTTTATCACGAGTGCAGCCCATACCTTACGAATGGCTTTATCTATGTAATTTTTTTTTGTTGTGTGTGTGTGACAGTGGAAAATGTTACGATGCCATTTCTAACCTTAGGTCTCTGGGAGGGACCCGGAACGAAATGTGTACACACCAGAAATCAAGGGAAAAAATATAATAATAATAGTCATACTCTGATATGACACTTATGCATAAACGCGGCCATGAAGTGATTCTGATAGAAACGTCGTGGCACCTTGGGATTAAGAACGCCGTGACGTCAGAGCAGGTGAAAACACAGAGATACGAAGATTTGGCGAGACGCATAAAAGAAACGTAGAATGGGACCGCTCAAATTGTCTCTTTGGTGTTTGGCACACTCGGCACTATTCACAGGAATCTTTCTGTCGCGGAAAAAAAAATAACCTTGGTGATATCTGAAAACATTGGGAGTACGCAGGTGGCGTCGCTGCTTGGAACGGTTAACGTGTTACAAAAGGCGTTACGTCTCCAGTCTGCTGGCGGGAGGTGATAGATGACCTTCATCCCACAGCCGAAACATCTGAGAGTCGGAGAGGACATCAATAATAATAATAATAATAATAATAATAATAATAAAACATACACACACGCGCGCGCGTCCATACACACACATGTGCGCATCATATGCACACAGACAGACACACAAAAAAAGCAAAAGTGTTGGTAAAATAATTGAAGGAGTTCTTGTTACCACAAAATATATTGTCTATCGATTTAGATATTTTCTTTCAATGTAGTCCAAACAAGTTCAACTTGACACAACTTTGCGCAGAATATTTCAGTGTCCCTTGTTACAGTTCAAATTAGGTACATTGTCCGAGGCGGGCCTCGGGTTACAGACAGTGTCCGGGTGGTGGGCAACCGTTACTGTTCAGTCATTTGGACTTTTGCCAATATGATATTCCCCCACCAGACGACAATACCTGGAGACCAAAAAGAAGATATTTTTATCTACGGAACATTTGCTTATTTTCCGCTATAAAACAAAACCAGGAGCGTGATTTTTATCTTCTTTTTTCTTTTTCTTGTTATATACTTTATTCTTCCTTTTGATATTCGCCATTCAACCGTGCTGACTCAAATTATCGGGTAGGGATTGTGAATGGAATAAGATGATATAGAGCTTGCTTCTGTCAGTTGAGAGAGGTACCGCATCCGTTTGTCTATAGAAGGCAAGAAAGTCACTTTTTTAAAATTCCAGTTGCGTTATTTGATTCAGAGATTAAAGCATGCCCGGTCAGAAGGACTAGGTTTTTGTGCGGAGAGATGCGGAGAAGAAAATGCGCGCTATGGATGCGCTAGGAGTTAATAGATGACGCCATTACTGTGTATACAGATGTCTCGTATAATACAGTAAGATAAATAAGATTTTACAGATTCCGTTTTATTCGTGCTGGCACTGAAACACCAGCTCTTCGGAATTTTCGCCATGGCAGTAGAAGAGTTGCAACACTTAAATTTACACTGAGAATGTAAAAAGAAATTTTCAATCGTTTTTTTTTTTTTTTTTTTAATTAATGAAAACTATAAACAGAAAAGCCGACAAAGCCTCCTTGTGATATATATAAGAAAACTAATAATGTTTGTGCGATTTAAAAAAAAAATCTGATTATTTCATTCATTCTTTCCTGCGGTGCAGGTGGAAAAATGTAATTTCATGGCTTAATGCAACTATCAGACACGTTTGAAGCGGAGTAGAGTGAACACAAGTTCTCAGTTGGTCATCACCTGAATTTACGTGCCGTCTTTTTCAGAGCCATACTTCGAGTAATTCTCTTCAAGAGGAAAATTCCCTGAACTACTTTTCAGTAATGGGGTCTGTAGATTCGTCTTCAGAAAGATGCTGTAAATTTTATGTGTGTAGATTTTCTTGCTTCCATTTCCAGTTTGAATGTATACAGTAAATCAGTTCTGGGCTGCTGTATTTAATTAACACGTTATTATTGTAGGTATACACTTCTAGTAGCAAACAACTGGGTTTTACGTTGTTGGAAAGATTTGCTGGATTTTTTTAAGAATTTTTAAAGCTGATAAACAAAGAAACATCCGAAAACGGTCTGAGCAATTTTGGCCGGTTGAAATTATTCAATACAAATGTCATTTTTTTTCTCAAATGTATATAGGCCATGTAAGAACTTAGCTAAGTGATGTAATCCCGACTTGAGTAAAAACACCCGCTGAGTAGATCTTCACGAACTGTTTGGTCATTAATCTGCTTGGGTGTTATTCGTGGTCCATTTCTGCGAAGTGAATACTGTCCAAATCAAGGCGTAGAGCGGTATTTATGATGTTAGTGCTCAAACCTTTTCTTGAGAGTTTAGAATTATTTTTATCTCATCAAAGAGATAAAGTTCTTGAGTGAATTCCTGTTCATCCGCACGATGTCTTATGGACGAGAACGAAACAAGGCAGTTAATGGCGATCCCGTAAAGAGGAATTCGCACACCGATTTGGAAAGGAAAAAGAATAATGGGATGAGTGTGTGATGTCATAATGGGACGTTAGACAAGTCATTTTTTTTATTAATCATTTCCACTTTTGTTTGTGGGTTGGATGGGGCCCTACTGACATCAGTTTACATTGGGTTTCATGTTTAGTTTGTTATTGGGTTCATCTACCTTCCCACTCAATTCATCTTTAGATTTTTCTATATAATTTATGATCATTAAATTTTTATGGTATGGGGCGCGTTTTGTAGCCCTCCCCCCTTTGAGAGGACGTGGTAATATGGTGTATGAAGGACTGATTGGCAACGGACGAGTTTTTTGTGGTGGGATGTGCAAATTGTAATGAGTGAATGGGTCGTGAATCGAATTAGCTAGGTATAGGATAGTTAGTGAAGACCAGCCTCAAACCCTCCCCTTTTTC